AAGTGCGCGTCGTACCCCAATAAATTATGAAATACAACCGGAATATACAGCGAAGTTTTATAATTTAAATTGCAATTTGAATGCGTAGGACCCTTGTAACGACCGGTTAAATGGCAATGATCGCGGACCCGTGTATCGTCCGGCGCGAACGGTTTCTCACAAATATGACAACGCGTCGCGCTACGATATGTCTCCCATTGCTGCTTCGATAATGCTTTCATGGGCACGTTGGTGGATACAATATCTTTTACGCGATGCACTAAACTTCTGAGTTCCTCGGTGAACCATGCGACGCAATTGTTACCGCGACGAAAACGATATTTCGACAACGCGTACGAGCAACGCACGTAGTAGCCCACACTACATACCTCATGCTGTATGTGTACGATGACGCATCTTCTTTGTCGGGCTCCATTTTCCGCAGGACGCACTCCAGGTCGGCGTAGACGACGAACGGTACTCGTTCCTGGTTGCAGTGGTTGCTGAATTCGAGCCACCTGTCGTCCTCGCTCGGCAGACGGATGGCGCAGTCGTTGATTTTTCCACAGTCTATTGTGTGCGACTGCAACCTTTCTCTCGACCCAAAATAGTGAAGACACCTGTAAATAAAAAACAAAAAATTATAACTATTACCATTATTTTTATTAGTAAGATGAAAAATAATATTTTTTTATGTGTGTACTTACCGGTCGCAGAAAAATTTCTTGTGCTCCATTCTTGTGACTTGCGATCTCACGAGACGGGACAAGTTCTTGATCCATGCGAAATGGCCCACATTGTCGTCGCGTGGATCTTGCAGGTACAGGAGATTGATATGCTTCTCCTTCTTATCGCTGGTGAGCCGTAGAGAAAGGATCTGTTTGTTTTCGATGCCGTACACGTTGATCGACATCGCGTTTAACGTTCGAATTTGTTAATGCTTTGAACGTTATTGGAAACTCGATGCCCGTAAGATTTAACACTGTCGTGTAATGCGGATACGATGACTCTCGCCCTACATTTCTTTCTGCGGGATACAGAGCGGCGACTACGCGAAGCACGCATTGTCCGCCGTACGCACACTGATCACCGCTCGTTTCATCACTATTTCCCGCGGCGTTCACCGCTCGTTTCGTCGCTATTTCCCGCGGCACTTCGACATGACATCCCGCGCGCATGGGATTCAGTTTATTCACGTTGATAGTCAAATTGAGGATTCGCGACAGCGTGCACCCACTGTCGCGTTCCTGGAACTCTTCGAGCGATGTCAACGTAGACTCGATGACGTGCCGCTCGTACCACTCGCGTATATCGGTGCATCAATATATCTCATTATTCTTAGTGTTTGTACTCTTATTGGCGCGTTTGTCTTTTGTCGCGAACTCACCGTTGAACGCTGTGTTCACCTTTACACTACCGTGTCTTTCCACAGCGTCCCGCACTCGCTCTAGCACTATATCACCAGCGTCTTTGAGAAATCGGCGAGATTCGATATGATTATAGTTTATCACCGCACCTGTCGCTATACGACTCTCGAACGCGGCTTCGATCTCACGCCGTACGAGAGACCGCTCGTTGCCACTCGCGTACCCGCTACCCGCGTACTCGCCACCAACGTGTACGAAACGTCGCTCTAATTGCGATTTTGCACCCGCGAGTCGCGCGATCCTCGCCACCATGGATTGCCTATGTCCAACGGCGAGGCGCGCACGCTTGGCACGACAAAGTTCTTCGAGCCGCTCGATGCACTCGTCGCATCGTTGCAACCACGCGAAGCACTCCACCAGAGTAGCGACCTGGCCGCACTGCTCCAGCAGTTCGCGTTCCACTCGCTCGTGGTTTTCCATGTCTTTTTTCAGTCTTTAAATCACGTCACACTTTTCCACAGAGCACTTGCAAGTGACTTGGAGGCACGCGTTGCAGCTGCGCAACGATTCTAGATTGTTATAACATTCCATCACTTTGTCGTTATGTTTGAATGCGAAAATACACTGTTCACACTTACGACATCGACCGTTGCATATATCTAAAAGCAGTTTTTTTGGCGGTACCTCACCGGGAAGAAATAAATCCGGAAAACATTCAATAATCAGCAGTTCGACACACTTGTCACTACCCGCGGGAATCTTAATGCACTTGCACTCATACGGGATCCAATCTGCGATTATCTTCGCCCAATAGTAATCGTCCTTCACTACATCGACATTTATATTTTTGTGAACGTTTTTAGCTTCTTCTCGTAACCACGTGTACACTCTCTGTCGCGCGAGTAAAGACCAATCAAAAACATGCTCTGTTATAACTTTTCCATGTTTCTCACCGCGTATACCTAACTCTCGGTCGCGCAGAAACTGCACCGGCGATATTCGCATACCATTTATGTCTCTCTTTCGCTGATTACCGAGAACGTTCAACACATCTTTTACATCGTCACGGTCTTCCCACATATTTTCCATGTCTCGCTGACGATGTCATTCACAATGCTGTTCAAAAAGTAGTTTTTTAATTTGTGCACTTTGGGCATCTGTTGCACGGATGTATAGTGTACAGTCGCAGTCTGAGGTTTGTGCAAAATCGACCGTTTAACGCATTAACATAATCGGTATTATGCTTCTTTATATAATGTATGCCCACGGTATCGATTCTCGCCAAAAGGACCATGCATTCAGAACATAGAGTTAAAGGACCGCTCGATGTCCAGTAATTCTGGATCATACAATGTTTCGTACTATCGTTCAGTGCACGAATTTCTGCAGCTGGCACAAATTTTTCTTCATGATCAGTTTCATATTCAGTCAGGTCACTGACAAAACCAGTATCGTCGGATAACACATGTTCTTCGTCGGATGAATCTTCATTCAGTATATCCTCGAAATTTACTTCCAAGTTTTCTTCTGCCATTTTATATTATAAAAACACGCTTCATCACAAATATTCGCGAACGTTTCCGTAAAATCGCACGTTTCCAGTATTCTCGACTACGCCGATTATGTTCGCATGATGGTTAGCCACACTTTTCGCACTGCTCTTACTGCGATCGATTCGACAGTTTCTCAAGGCACCAACTGAAGTGTCGAGCCCTTATGATCTGTATATATATTTCGTTATGTCCAGTGGACTCCACGATTTCTCCGTTTCGTGAAAATTCCGACAAAAAATAGTCGTTAGACAAACAAAACTCGAACGTCACCGATCGGCGAGCATGGCAATATCCAAGAAACGTGCCATTAGAAATCTTCCCAAAGATATTGGAAACATAAGAAAAAACATAGATCCTCAGAATCGTCAGATCCATGGCAATAAAATTTATGGCATACCATATAGAGAAAATCATATTTCCAAACGCGTAAATGGAAGTTGAAGGGCGTTTTCTCGTCAAACAATGGGAAGTTGGTAAAATAAAATATGGGATCACAAAGCGTAGCTTTTAATTTTTAAATTGTCGATCGTAGAATTTAAGTAAATATTATCTAGACGAGAGAACGCATGTTCAAGTAATAAAAGAGAAATTGTTGACAAAAAAAGGGGGTGCGTTCGACTCGGAGTATTCGCCTTTGTGTGGATACCTGCACATCCTGCATTCCACATTTACTGCAGAAGAGTTATGTTTTTTTGTTTAGCAGCAGAAATATCGGCGCTTCTCTTAGCGCGTCACGACATGTCACCGATTTGACAATGTACATAAACAGTGTACAAAGCTTTTTTCGTTTAATCGTAAACTTCGATTACGAGCGATAAGACATGGATCGAGTAAAAGAATATATACGTCGAAAATCGATCGAGCGCAAGGGGTACCGTCCCTTACAGCAAGATCCGTCAAGTCCTCCACCACAATCGAAGGAAAACCCGAGATATTGGGAATGTCCCAACGAAAAAGCATTAAAGTCACCAACGATTTCCTCATCATCAGCGCAATCAAAATATAAGCCATAAGGTATTGCATTTACGGTGACTAGTGCTAATGCATATTATTCTCTGCTGAAAAAGCAAATAGTGATCAAAAAGTTTTTTT